GAGGCAAAGACCAGAGAGAGGGAGGTGCCCCAGGTGTCTACACCACCCACCTCTCGGTGCCGGTCCCATCGCTCTCATTTCACAAAGGAGGGAGGCAAAGACCAGAGAGAGGGAGGTGCCCCCAGGCGTCTACACCACCCACCTCTCAGTGCTGGTCCCAGAGAAAGCAGAGGAAAAACAAACTTTTTCCCCAGGGAAGGGCTGCTGAAGACCTGGTGTGCAGAGGAGGCTCTGACCCCAGTGCCACAGCAGCAAAGACAAAGGGAGAGGCCACCTCTGCACAGGACAGATGGGGAACAGAAACGCCTGTCCAGATGGGCAACTCCTTTGTCCCGGTACAGGAGTATTCCCTGAGTCCCAGTGAGAAGACATGTGAGCTATTTACCATTTTTGACATACATCTTTAGCCCTCAGTTAACTTCATGGGAAACTGAATATCATTAATATTCTGCAGCACAGATTTATTAATTTTTAGGTAACTTTCCTGCTGGAGAATCTCAGCTGAGGGAGAAGCAATCTATGGAGTGGTGCTTCTCAAAGTGGGGTTCTCCAGAATAGCAGTGGCAGCTGAAATGCAAATTCTCAGTCCCCACCCCAGACCTACTGAATCAGAACTCTGGGATGGGGCCCAGTAAAAAAACATTCCCTGGTGCCTGTTCAGATTTGAGAAATGCTGACTGAGTTTATGGTACCTTAACATATGAATCTATCAGGCCAGTCTGAGTGTTCTTCCTAGTAAAAACTGCAATCACAGTACTGTGGAAGAATGATGAGGGCCTGGAGGGATAGTTCTGTTACCCTCCCGAAAGATGGCATGCCCCTCCACCCACTTTCCTCACTGCTCAGCTGGCACAAAGGCAACTGTCATCTACTTCTGGGAAAATTTCTTTAAAAAAATAGTTTTAGAAATAACAAAAAAAGATCAAATTATGAGTACATAATTAGGCAACAAATACTTTTTAAAAAAACGTTTTGGATAAACTGGAAGATGGCTAAAATTAACCTACTTTTAAGACCTGAAAAAGTAAATATTCAATTTTTTAAATTAGTCAATAAGAAAAAAAATCTTTGAAAATATGAAAACCTTAGCATTCTCATTTTCTTATAAAATGGTCACGTCCTTGCAAATAAGCCTTTCCTCCTCGTTCAGGATAACGGTGTGAGGAACAGTTGTACATAAATAAGGTCTCCCAGACAACCGTCTTATCTCATTATGGAAGGAAGTTCACGAAGAAAGAATTGACGCTCTTCCCCAACAACGACAATACATTTTTGGATTCCTTTCCCAGAAATTAGTAAATAACAAAATACCTTTCATTTTACAAAAAAAGCATGTTCATAGCAAATGCTTAAATCTAATCCATATGCCACTCATGTGCTTAAAAAGGGAGATGTTTCCATGAGCCAATTTCTCCACTCATTCTGTGCCAAGTAAGACAGATTTTAGCAAAAAGCCTCAGAGGGAACTCTGTTCATTCTACGGGGTATAAAGTACTATTTATTTTTCATTCAGAATTCCCAATTCTCTCCTTACTATACATTTTCCCATTTGTGCAGGTTTTATCCACTGTAGGTAAGCACATTAAAGGCAGAGACATACAACATCTTCCTTGGCTGGAAGAAATTTTTTAAATGCTGGCACAATTCAGCATCTACATTCTGCTGTATTAAGAAAATGCAATTTTTATTGAACAAAAAAAGCTTACATAATATGGGGCCTGGGATTCATCCTTTTCATTGCTATCCCAACTCAAAGCAAAAAGACATCCCCAGGGGTATGTAGTTGAACATTTATGGTCTGTATGGTAGAAAAAAGTTCAGAATCCACACCTAAGACATCACAGAAAATAGCTGTGATGTGTGTTCCCTTTACATCATTTAATTGTGCAAGTCCAGGCAGTCCCCAGGTTACGAGCAAGGTAGGTTCTGTTGGCTTGCTCTTATGTGGAATGTGTACGTAAGTTGGAACATTCACCTATTGTCTCCATCTGTAAGTACAAGCTGTATGTCCGTCAGATGTTTGTACCTCAGAGGCTCACTCTAATGGGTTCCTTTCATAAGTTCGAGTTGTGAGTAAATCAGATCTCTGTAATTCAGGGACTGCCTGTATGTAACAAAATGATCTTCTGTTTGCGTCTGAATGTCTTTTTATCAAAACACAGCTAAAGTATGGAGAATTCAAAATAAATGAGTGGCATCAGAAAATATTTAAGAGACAAAAAATCAAAATATTTTATTATAAAATGTATTGCATTATAGACTTTTCAGATAGATTTCCAGGTATATGAATGAAAATGTCTACAGAGGGAACACAGTGGTCTCTGAGACCAAGGGATAAGGAACAACCCTTGTGGAAAAGAGACAGATGACCAGAGAAGCACCAGAGATGACAGACAGACTGATAATCGGCCTGACGAGAAAATTAAGTGAGACTTCGCTGGCTGTCGGATCCACTACTATAACCTGGAATCAAAATCGGGGGTTGAGCCTCAAATTTGAGAGGTACAGAATTAGTGTCTAGAATATTTTAAGGAAAAGCACCCTGTGAATGAACAAAAAGGGGCTGAAGCCACAGACAAGCGGGGCTGAAGCCATAGACGATCAGGGCTGTAAAGCTCTCAGCCCCTATGGGGCTGGTACCTGACGCATAGGACAGAGGCAGCAGCAAGACCCAAGGAAGTCAGGCACCTAGAACGCGTTTTCTGTGACCACTGGAGCTCTTCCTGTGGGGTCTCCTCAGGAAGCGGGGTGCGAGTCACTGAGAAACATCTCAGCCTAAGGACGAATAATCAGCCTTACCTTATACCTGCAAGGTGGCTCTGACATCCTGCCTGCCTCGGGGAGCTCAGCTGTCAGAGTTGAAACCAGAGGCCCACCCTGGTTGCCCAGGGTCATTCCTGCCACACCCCACCCAGCGGGGATAGGTTTAGAAAAATTAAAACTTCACATTTTTCACAGTGCCACATTCTAGGCTGGGAAAAGAACAGTTGCCGCCAAAAAGTGGCCTGCCCCTGGAAAGGGAGGATTTGATATTTCAAATGCTGTCTCCACAGATCAGCAGGTAACTAGAGGGAAGAGGCCCAGAAAGCACCAGAGAAGCAGCAGCTCATGTGCAGAGGACAGTGTCTGTGCTAATGCTCCATCCCTCTCAAAGGCACTAAGTTGCTCTCAGGATAAACATTAAAAGGAGGCTTCTGAAATGTAGGGGCTCCCAGAGTAGTGTTACATCCTACTGAAAGCAAGTTAATGTGCAAAACTATTGTCCACTGTCCTGTGAAACTGAATTTTGGGGGGGTCTCTATATTACATATTATTAGATGTGGCGCTCCTTTCTTACCTGAGTTCTAGATTTCTTAAAGTCCCTTTACCCATGCAAATTTCTCTCGAAGTAATAATAATGCCCAAAATTTCAGTGCTGAAATAAAGTACATGTTAATCAACAAACATAGGTCTTTAAATACTAAAGGACCAAAATAGTCTCCCTTCTTCAGTAACTGAAGCAAAGTGGCATCTCACCTTTACTTCTAAATAAAGTTTAAATGTTCACCCTAAACATGCTGGTTGCTAAGGCACAGACACAAAGGACTCTCTGGAAAGTCAACTAGGTCATTTAAAAGGTGCTCTACCTTTTCCGATGCCTTGTCTTGTACAGGTAGTCCTGAACCGGGAGGAGGTGGGGCCCGGCGTTTCTTCATCTCCGACTTCACAGAGGCCCCCGAGATGCTGCCCAGCGACAAGGATGGACCCAGCGTAAGGGAATGCGAGTGCAGGGACGGGGAGTTGGGGGTCGTCAAACAGCCCTGCTGGGAAGACAGACATAAAGGCTGGTCAGTGCGAGACCAGTGCTCAGGCACGCTCACGACAACCCCACCAGCATACTTGGAGTGGCCTCTGTTTCCAATGACAGGCTGGAGCGACCTCAGCAAAACTGCCACGTGACTCCCCTGAAGCTGCACAGGACAGACCCGTGTTGTAAGGCCTGATCATGAGCAAAGGGTGGGCTCTCCCAACCTCTGAGAAGAGCACTTAGTGGTTACAGCCATTCAATCTTCCTTACCAACCTGCAGGTATGAGTTAGCCTCCTTAAAATGCTAGCCTGTCATCAGAGTGAGCTCTTAGGCATGGAGAAAAGGAAGGAACAGATCAAAGAATGTGTTTTACTCAATTTAATTCAAGTTGGGGGGGGCAAGGAGGAGGGAGAGGGATGGGAGTACCGGTTCCCCCCCCCCCAGTGGGCACAACATAAAGGTATATGATGCACCTCCTAGATGCAGGACACAATTATAACAGCCACTCTACCTAACAAATGCAGACATTGTAAACTAATCATTTGTACCTTCATATGAATCTAAAATTTAAAAAAAATTAAAAATATATGTTTTCTTGCAGAGGAGACCAACAGTCTGGCCATCTTGGGGAGGATGTCACCTATTGTCAGGAAGGAGCTTAAGTTTTTTTTAATTATCAGAAGCTGTGAACAAATGACTGCTGTATAAGTAACATGCTGTGAAGACCCCTTTGCCCACAGACACCTAGCTAGTAGAAAGAAATATGGCCCAACACACTCACTTGTTCTCAAGGAACATTTCTGGGGGCGGGGGCGGGGGCGGGGGGGCGACTAAAGGACTCATAAATGTTTCTACTCTTTCCCTCCCTAGCGTCTGCTTCATACAGTCACGTGCTAGGCAGAAAGAGCGTCAGGGAACCTGCACTCTCATTTTCAGATTGAAAACTAGATGGCACACCACTCTCTGCCCTGAGCTTGTCCTTTCCTGTCCTGGCAGGTCATCTAACACAGCACATATAGCCCTGGGCACTGTCCATGCCACACGGCAGGCATGCAGTACAGAGCTGAGCCCACAGACACAGAAGACACTGCCAGGTTTGATTCTCACCTTTGTCACTTACAAGCCGCATGACCTTGACCAGGTTTAAATTTTTCTCTGCCTCTGTTCATCTCCTCTAAAACTGCAGTGAACAATGGTCCTGCATTACAAAGTTACCAAGGGAATTCAACGGTGGCATACATACAAGAGCTTTAAAGAGCCCTTGGCACCTAGTAAGCAGCCGGCAGGTGCCAGCTGCATGTTGATATCTTTCCCCACCATTAAAATGTGAGCTCCGTCAGGACGGGACCATGGCCCACTTTTACCCCCAGCCCTGGTGCGTGGAGGGCCCTTGAGCCCACAGCTGTGGTGGAGCAGAGAGGAGTGGGCCTAGGGCCACTCTCTGCCTTCATGTTCCACAGAATGAACCTGCAGGTGAGATTTCATTTCAACTACGGGTTCTTCACATTTAAATACATTTTTAAAAACCTATCATATAAAGCAACAATCAGTATTAATTGTCCTTGGACACAAATTATATTATGTTCTGCCAATTAATACCATCATTTCGTTTCCTGAGAAAATTTCTTGGTCACAGATTTTCTTGTGCTTAATTATTAAAGCCAAAGGACAAAACACTGCACGTGGCTGCCCCTGATGCCAGCTCCTGTTCTTGTGAGATGCCAGACCTCAAAGTCATCCAATGCCGTGGCCATCAAATACACAGTCTCCATAAGAAATAGGTGAGGGCCTTTACAGGAGATAGCTTGACACACAGGAAACTCATCAATGCCTATTCAGACACACAAAAACATGCACATCGCTCCCCCATGCTGGAGCTCTGCAGCCACTGCACTCACTGCAAAGCAGATCAGCCAGTGTGGGATAAACTGTTGCGTATTTTCCTCTGCCTTCCATCTACCTCCATAGCAACCGTGAGAGCACCAGGAGACGAACGCAGATTCACTTAACCATGCAGGGTCTGGATGCCTAAGTACTTGAGGCAAACCAGAAAACAGGTCTTGTTAATCCAAGAGCCAGCACTGACAAGGTATTTCCCGGGTGGCTGCTCTGCTCAGATACCCCCAGACTCAGGGGGATGCAAGCCCCATCTCTCCTCCTCATCAGGGCCACAGCATAGACACTGGGATCCTCCAAGCTGCTTTGTTTCCTTCTTGGTAAGGCTTGCTGACAGGGTGCACGCACATACACACACATGCACATACACGCGTATGCATATACGCACACGTATCATGGGATTGATTGAAGGTGCAGCCTGCCTGGAGAACTACCCAGCTACACCGTGCTATGCCACTATCTCTGAAGTGCACATGAGGTTCACGACAATGTATTCCGCAACCCTGCGCCCAACTGCTTCTCCTCACCCCACCCTGTCTAGACACAGAACTCCCAGTTCCTCTTCAGCCCTCACCACAACTATGCATGCCTGGCTGGTCACTCAACCCTGCTGTGACTTTACCTCTGTCCTCTTGTTGCCCTGAGCATCTCACAAAGCTGTGTGGATACTCCCTTAAAAGTACTCTCCCAGCCCCCCTCTCATGTTGATTCAGGTTTTTATTCTGTAAATTTTTTGCCCTCACAAATTTCCTGATACGTTGAATTATCCGCTCCTTGCAGCAAGGAAGGGGCACCTATCTTATGCAGAGACATCCTCATCTGCAAAATGGGGGAAATTCCATTGACTTCAAAGCTAAGCATTAAAGGAGGACACTTAGATAAAGCACTTAGCATATTTCTGCCGCTTTAAAGCATCGAATGTTCTCGGTTGGTTCCCTTCTTTTCTGACAAGCACCTTTGGTAAGACGACCACATCAGGCCCAAGGTGAGATGGTACTGGGTAGCAGGAAGCCAGAAACATGGAGTGTGCCCCACCCATGTCCCCTCAAGTTCTGACACCCATTGTCTCCAGATCTCCAGATGTCCCAAGTTCTGACACCCATTATCTCCAGACAGTGGGCGTTTCACATCCTGCACCTGCGGCTCTGGAGCACAGTGGGTGCTGTTCACCCATCATCTGTGACGGGAAGGCAGCAGACACCTCCCGCCTCGCCCCACGCAGTGTGCTGTGCCCTCAGTCCCCAAAGTCTCTCCGCATTCTGCTGCTCAGCAGTGTTTCCCAATCTTTAACCCATGGGCAGCCAAAAAATTTCTGCTGCTCAGAGAATATTTGTGGTTTAACACCTACAGTCCTTCTTTCCCTACTTTTGGAATCTCTGCACAGAAACAATGCACAGAATAATTGATAATGGGAGGAAGGACTGTTCAGTGCTGGGTTCTTTAAAATACTCATAGTAATACTGAAATGGACCAGAAGTTTAATACATGCAGTCTGCAGTCAAAACCTATTATTCCAGTGACCTATTATTCCAGTTTCCCCGATCGTCCTGTGCCACAAAGTGGCAAGGTTCATGGGGCATAGGTCACTGCTTCCCTGTAAGAGGGGTTTAGTTAGTCTTTCCCTATCCAAACAGGCTGATCTCTCTCTCTCTCTCTCCCCCTCATCTCTCATTCCTTTCTCTCTCTCTTTTAATATCAAGACATTTTCTTGTAGGGAAGTGAGTCATACATTTCTCCAAAGATTGGCACCCAAATCGACAGATTTTGGCAATCTTATCAGATTTTTTCAGGAGTTGTGAGGACACCCACATAAATCATTAATAAAAAACAATGCTTAGCAGAACCTTCTATCTCAGGCTCCATGGGACTTTGGTTGGTGGGGGTGTAAACGTTTACCACGGAAACTGCTGTTGGCTGGAGGGAAAGTCCCAGTAGATGCCACTCGCTAGAGACAATACACAATTCTGTATCCAGGTCACCACACCATCGATAGCCAACTAATTCATTTATTGCATTCAATATAAAATGTCATTGTTTGGGGCCAGGCACAGCAGCTCATGCCTGTAGTCCCAGCTACTCCAGAGGCTGAGGCAGCAGGATGACTTCAGCCCAGAAGTTTCAGGCTACAGTTAACTAGGAAGACTCCAGTGTACTCCAGCCAGGGTGGCAGAGCGACTCTTGCCTCTTAAAAAAAAAAAAAAATCAGATTGGATTATACTATACACCCATGGGGGGAACAAGAGTAACAAGAAACTAATAAAATCTAGATCTGAGCTTATAATCAAAATAAAATCAACATTACCTGCAACGATTGTTTTGCCACAGGTACTGTTTTATGTATATATGTATATGTATGTGTAGGTGTGTGTTTATATGTATGTGTGTGTATGTATGTATGTAATTGGTTGTTTCTATTTGAAATGTCCTCATTATCTTCAAAAGTCTTATTTTCCTTGTATTTGATTTTCGTTGTAACTATGGAACACAAATTCCTGGCAGGGACAAGGAGCCATCTGCACACCTGCAATCAACAACAGGAGTTTCTCTAAGGGGAGTCCAGGACTCCCCTACCACAGGCCTACCAAGGAGTACTGGGCCTCCTAGGAGAGCCCAGAGCTCCCAGGCAGCTGGTGGATGGACTGTTGTAGGCTTGGTCTCCAGAATTAGATGCTGCCCCTAAACCATTCTTGAACCTTGTACAGGCACAGCACTCTCATAAAAACCAGTACCAAGCAGCAGGGGCACTCTATGACAGCTTAAGTGCCCTGAAAACTTAACATGCTCCATAAGTGCTGGGTGTAATTAAGACAATTCTGGGATTCACACGTTCTGCAGGGAAGTTTTCTCCCTTACTTGCTGACGTAACTGACCAGAGATCAGTACTGGACAGTAAGCTGAGTCCAAGGTAAACAGTACTGAGTGAGATGAACTGCCACGGTCTCACCCCGTTTCCCTGAACTCTCCCCTGAAGCCTCACAGAGCTGCTGTGCAAGCATGTCCTGGAGATGGCTCGTCCTCACCGGCAGCAAGCGGCCTGGCGAACTCGACTCGACTTGACTCACCTCCAGATACAAATGGGTAGGTGCTGGACTTGAAACCTTTCTGGTTAAGACAAA